TCAACGACGTCGTGACGGGGAGGAACACGCCCCCTATGTGTTATGGTACATCTCGTTCGTGTCATGACATTTTCCAACAGGAAAATTTGTCAATAGCATCATTTTTCTTGCCTCTCTCTCTTTCTCTCTCTACTCTCATAACATGTCATAACAAGGAACACTGTTTCCTACATAATATTAAGATGGTGTTATAGTTGAGTAGGCATGTGAAGAGATATTATAACATTGACCCACAACTAATGTTTTTACCACTATTTTGAAAAGCGGTCCGGCCCGGCCGGTTCAACCGGTTTAACCGGGAACTGGTCAAGGTTCCGGTTCTTTATGTCCAAAAAACCGTTTGTTTTTAAACCGGTAAAAACCGGACAGTTCAATGAAAACCGGTTAAAACCGGAATGGTTGAACCAATAAAAATCGGCTCATGTATACCAAAATGGCATCTGTATGCTGAAAATTTAACCCGTGTTGGTTCCTTTTAATAAAGGAAGCCAGCCTTAAAACTTTCATTCAAGCGCCGATGTGGGATGAATTCTCTTTCTTTCCCTCCGATTATTAAGCCACAGCTCTTTACATTTTTTTCATGTAATCGATATGGGATTAAAACTCATAACAAGAAACAATCACATTGCCACTTTCCAATACTTTCCCTTTGTTTTGTTAATTTATTTTGTTTCCTCTTTATTTTTTTTAATATATATATATATATATATATATATATATATATATATATATATATATATATATATATATACCCGGTTTTTTAAGCCGGTCCGACCGGTTGGACCAGTTGAGCCATCGAACCTTTAAGACGACCTATTCAGTCTCCGGTCTGATTTTCAAATCCTTGGTTTTTACATACAATTTTACAGCTGGTATGGCCCACAAATAAAATCATAAGCTAGTAAAAAAGAGGGGGACAAGGGGTAGGACCCACCAGGTTTATCTCTCCATACTAGCTATAGATCCATTGACTGGGTCCCACCTGGGCTTCTCTCCTCGCAGACAAGAGCTTCTCCGATTAACCCAACCGACGGACATCTTCAATAAGTCACAATTGTAGTCGCCAGTGAATGAAGCCAAAGTATTACTGGTCGAATCACCGGTAGTCAGAGCAATAACTTCTTCAGCACCATCATGATCATTTGTCGACCCCCCAATGATAGCAACCCCGGAATGAAATCGCCATCACCACCGGTAGGCCACCTCCTGTCACCAGTTATCTCGAGACAGCGGCATCCGGCGAAGCAGCCTTGGCAGCAACCTCCAAGCCAGCACCCAAGAGCCTCCAATTGTATGCCTAACAAGCCAGCGTCGTAGGAAAAACGCTACACCGACTGTCCTACAAGCGATCCCCAGACCACTCACCCACCATTAGTCAAACATCCGCAATAACAGCAGTCTTAACGTTGCCAACATCGGTCCGTTCGCTCACGAAGATGACCCCTTATAGTTGCAGACTCAACAAAGCATCCCCCCAAGTCCAACCACAGCTGCCTTTCTTCTCCAAGAAGCGACCATCGGAGTCTGGCTACTTCCTCTGATCAAGCAGCGAACCATCGACAACCTTCTCGAGGGATCATTTTCTCGACCCGAAATTAATCACTGGTCGACCCACCAATGGACTGCCATTACTCTATCACTAGGCGCTTCCGACCTTAACCGCAGAATATCTAGCAGTGACGAAAGCGTTGCTCCGATCTTCTCACCACTGTCGATCCACCTTCTTCCGACGACCTCATTGAAGCTTCCACCCAGCGGAACGTTGCCAGGTGTTGCCAGCAAGCCCAACGCCGATTTCCTTTACAATCAGTGATTGTCGACGAAGAAGGGACAAGCAAGACCATCCATCGAGCCACCTGCTTAAGCTCCATATACGATTCTCAGCAAGAAGCGCACAGTGGCGCCCTTTTCCAATTTGTTTCACATACACAACAGAAAGATAATTATGGTATTGGCCCATATTTCACAAGTGGTCCTAGCAACTTCATATTGGGCTGATTCTTTCCTAAGCAGGCCTATAAATCGATATTCGGCCGTTATTTTCAGTTGGGGCTGATTAATAAATAAATGGGCTTACATTTGGATATATATTATATATATATATATATATATATATATATATATATAAATATATATATATATATATATATATATATATATATATATATATATATATATATATATATATATATATATATATATATATATATATATATATATATATATATATAAAAGGAAATCGGATTTGCAATACGCAATTTGGGTCTCCTTCCAAAATTAGGCTTCTTATATTTAATCTTGGACTTATAACATATGTGGGTTGCAACATTTTAATTTGGGTTTTCTTCCAAATTAACTTCCTTTTCATGATAATGTCACAATTTTATCCACCTAAAATCAACCATTTAACATTCACCTGGCGCAAGCACCTCTTAACTGGGTACACTCTGGAATATACGTGGCGGACCAGACCCCTCGACACTTTCAAAATATATGTGATATATAAAAAAAACGAAAAAGGAGCTGGGTCAATTGGTTTAGTCACTTCCAAATGGGCTCTTGAATTTATTTTAGAAATACGGGCTTCCCTACATCAACTTTTCATCTTATTGGGCCCATCCTAGCAAGATAAAAATCAACAGCTAACGATCACGTACTGCAAGTCGGCCAAACTAAGTCAAGATCCAAAAGATACATTGCGATCCAACTAAGCATTTACAAAAAAAAAAAATAAATAACTAAATAAATAAAAGGAAGGAGAAGAGTAGTACATCACTACTACCCGTGGTGTATTTCAAAATAACCCTCAGCAATTGTGTTGCCCGGCTATTAGCAGTTGTATTAACCAACTTTAAGCAGTCTTGCTACTCAGCTCTCATCGTTCACGTTGACCGAGCCTCGCTAATCTCGCTGCTTAGCTCTCAGTAGCCGCACTGCCTAGACTTCAACAGTGATGCAACCCAGCCCCTAACAGTCGAGGTGACATTAATATTCCGGATTAAAAGAGCAGCCTCGTGGTTCAACTCTCAGTGGTCGTGTTGCTCATTTATCACTAGCTGCTCGATGCTCAGTCCTCAGCAGCCCAGTTGACTAGCTCTTGACGGCAGTCTCACAATGTACCACTTGACAACAACTACATTATCCAACTCTAAGTAGCATCGTCGCATAGCCCTCGGCAGATAGCCAAAACAACAAGGCACCAATCGTCACTACAACTAATGATGCAACAAAGCATTAGGTTCCATTACACTTCAATCCGGACAGGCCAACCGGTCTAGAAAAGATTGCATGACTGTTGTGCATAATCGTGCAAGGCTCGGCATCATTGCCTTGAGTTGTCTGGCTTCTCAGCCCGACTCCATTACAATGTCAAGCTCTGCATGCGAGGTTCAGTACCCTCGCCTTGAGACGCCTGACTTCCCAGCCCGACTCAATTACAACGGTAAGCTCCACATGCAAGGTTTAGTACCCTCGTCATGAGTCACCTGACTTCTCAACAGCGGCAAGCTCCGCATGCGAGGTTCAGTAACCTCGCCTTGAGTCACCAGGCTTCTCAGCCTGAATCATTACAGCGACAAGCTCCGCATACGAGGTTCAGTGCCCTCGCCTTGAGTCCCCTAGCTTCTCATCTCGACTCCATTCTAGCAGTCAGCTCCGCATGCGAGGTTCAATACCCTTGCCTTGAGTCACCTAGCTTCTTATCTCGACTCCAATGGCATACTCCACCGGCGAGGCTCAAAGGCTTGCAACCCTTGCCTATATGGTTCTACACGATGCTCCCCCGCGTAATCTATCTACGATCGTTAGCAGTTAAGCCCGATCCATTCCACACGATGATCTCCCGGGTGATGTACCTACGGTCGCTGACAACCAAGCCTGATCCATTCCACAAGATGCTCTCCCATGTGATGTACCTGTTGGATTAATGTATAAGTCCATAACTGTAATTGGTAAGACTTGACCCGACCCGGCATGGTCCATTTGGATAGACTAAAATGAGAGAAATAACACTTAAGGTTTGTTAATATATTATAAGTTCTAATATATTAATAAGATTATTTAATTAGTATTGATCAAGAATTAATCTAGAATTAATTAAGTGATCAAAAGAAGACTAATTAAATATATGGGTTGATTGTGTAAATCATCCATACTTATATAGTGGGCTAATGCTCTATGGATTGTCAAGTTGGGCTAAAACCCATAAGATGCTCCATGGTGTATTTGTACCCATGGATCATGGAAATGAAAGGCCATGACAATTAGGGTTTACATGGTGTAACCCTAACTATATAATGATCTTATTCTTGGAGAAAATTGGCCACTATGTGTGAGAAATAAGGGTTAACTGATTTTATGAAGTGTTCCATTTCTCTCAAGTCATTCCATGTGTATTTGGGGTTGTGTGAACCATTTGAGGTGTCACACTTGGGGCACTAGGCACTCAAGCTTCATGAAGACATTCTACATCAAATAGGTATGTAATTCTAACTTGAGATATTCATATGAATCAATGTTATTATGCTAGTTAGGATGCATACCTTGGAAAGTTCATATTTGCATATAT